TCCCATTCATTCACATTATGTGCTGCTTCTTTCTACATCTTCACACACCACCCATGGTTTCTTTCTTCATCTTAACGAATCCCAGTTTCTTTCTGCATGACACACCACACGCTGTTTCTTTCTACATCCCAATACAATGCCCGTAACTGTTTCTACATGATATACCACCCACGGTTTCTTTCTACATCTCAATACAATGCCCGTAACTGTTTCTGCATGATACGCCACCCACGGTTTCTTTCTACATCTCAACACAATGCCCGTAGCTGTTTCTTCATGATACGCCACTCACGGTTTCTTTCTACATTTCAATACAATGCCCGTAACTGTTTCTGCATGATACGCCACCCACGGTTTCTTTCTACATCCCAATACAATGCCCGTAACTGTTTCTGCATGATATACCACCCACGGTTTCTTTCTACGTCTCAATACAATGCCCGTAACTGTTTCTGCATGATACGCCACCCACGGTTTCTTTCTACATTTCAACACAATGCCTGTAACTGTTTCTGCATGATACGCCAACCACGGTTTCTTTCTACATCTCAATACAATGCCCGTAGCTGTTTCTGCATGATACGCCACTCGCAATTTCTTTTTAAATCTTGACCCCCCCGCAGTTTCATCCCAATTTGTCTTTTTTTTTTCAGAAATGGGTAAACACATACATTACATGTGATGGATTATTTTTATGTTTGTATACTTCACCTGGAATTATTTGAGGTCGACAGGGTTACTTGTAACTTTTTTTTATATAAATATTACAAAGTAAACGTTTCTGTTACTTAGAGTCGCTTTTATCAATTACTAGCTTTGCCTAACTCGTCAAAAAATGACAGGTCTGAGTTTTGTGAAAAAACCTGGGGCCCTCGCCCTTCTTTCAGAGAGTATTGTTTACCATACTTTCCCTATACAGTTAGGATAGTTTTTGCCCTGTAAGCTTATTTGAATTTATACAGTTAAACTGGAATTTACACCTGTAAGCTGACGTGATCTATACAGTTAAGATCGTTTTTGCTCCAGTAAGCTGATTATCAAAGTTAAGATAATTTTTGTTTTAATGTTCTAATCTCATATTCATGTATATAGTTTTGTTGCTACGCGACACAGACGAACAAAGCGTTACCAAAATACAACTGACTTGTATATATTAAATACTCCAACACTGAATGATGCTAAGCACATGATTGATATATTACAATAAATTAAACATGTATCGTCCATTCAGATTTTCAAATTCAATGTTTGTTTGCTGTTGTTTGTTTTCTGTTCTTTTTTTGGGGAGGGGGAGGGTCTTGTGTGCTTATGTTTGTTCATATAGCGTCTCAAGATGTTTTTCTAAAATATCGTTATCGAGACGTTATTTGTGTTGAGCTTTTATGAACAATAAACTTAACAAATGCTTATGCTTCAACGAGTGACATATCAAACCCAGAGTACCTTCACATGACATTTCATTTAATTAAATGAAATGGGCCCGGCATGGCCAGGTGATTAGGGCCCTCGACTCGTAATCTGAGGGTCGAGGGTTCGAATCCCCGTCCCACCAAACATGCTCGCCCTTTCAGCCATGGAGGCGTTATAATGTGACGGTCAATGCCACTATTCGTTGGTGAAAGAGTAGCCAAAGCGTTGGCAGTGGGTAGCGATGACTAGCTGCCCTTTTCTCTAGTCTTTCACTACTAAATTAGGGATGGCTAGCGCAGATAGCCCTCGTGTAGCTTTGGGTGAAATTTTTAATCAACAGTTTTTCTTTTTTCCTGTAGACACTATCACATTACAGTCAAAAACATTCTGAAAAACCAAATCTGTTTTCTTATCTTCAGCCTAATGTATATTTTTATTGCTTCCAGTATCTGCTTGAGTTTGTTTTGTTGTTTTCTTCCGTGTTATGAATTAATATATATATAACTCCATCAGATTTAACTTATATAAACTTACTTTTACCTTCTGTACAGAGTTTCAAAATATTGATGTCTAACAGGAGAGAATGTCTTTTACAAGTATTAAGCTCCTTCCAATTCACCAAATTTCCTGTTTTAAAATGGATGGTTTTCTGTGTAGTTTTACAAGCTCAGTACAGATATGTTTTTACTTTAATATCAAAGTATACATTTTAGATATACTAATACCTTCCACTACTTAAGTTTTTTTTTAATTACATTATTTACTTTTTACCAAACCACATGCCAAGTACCAGGTATATTTCAAAGATTTGATTTTGTTTTAATATGTGTCAACACATTCCTGAAGTTCCGACCTCTAGTTTGATACATTCAGATTTAGTCCTTCACCTGATATAGCGATGACATCATAAGTAAACTATTACGAAGAATATTTTGGAAAGCACTGAAAGAAATTGACCATTTGTAACGCTTGCTAGTGAAACGGCGGTAAGTCCGATGGCTTATAGCACTAAAATTCGGGTTTCTATACCCTTAGTGGGCACAGCACAGATAGCCCACTTCGTGTTTAACAGCTTTGTTTTTAACAATAAGCAAACACACAAATATACCATCTATAACGTTCTTGGTCAGTCCGTTACAGCTAAAAAACAACAGTTTTCTTTCAAGACTAAATTCTGATACACAAGAGTCATTTGGGTAACTCTTAAGGATAATTAATACCATTCGTTAGATAATTCACTAAAAAAAAGTCTTCGAGCTGAAAAGGAAATATAATTAGGTTTTCGGAATGGATCACGAAAAATTTATGATTTTGTCTACTAAAAAGTGCAGACAGAAAATATATTTGATATTATATTACGTATTGTATAATAATTATTATCCAGTCGATTTTTTTATTAACTATATTAGATTTTCATTGACACATTTTTAAAGTGATTTTGTATTCTAAAATAAAAATATTTTTATACGAAACATATGCTCCAGATGCAATATTAAACTTCATTAAACTTGAGATTTGGATATATATAGGACGTATTAAAACATTAACCTGGTAAGTTTTGAACTGTGTACTTGCAACCATTTTACCAAGACTAAATTAGTCAAGCCAGAAATATAATGTTTTATTTCACAGGATATCTTCAAATTTCTCGACCCATTGCGAGCCTTCATTTCAAATACGAAATATATATAAAAATAAAACACTGTTTTGTGAATTGATTATGATAAATATATTCTGAAGTAACGGTTTTTTAAGAACAAAAATGCTCATAAAAAGTTTAATAAAGTAAAATGTTTGATAACATAATGTTTTCTGAAATTCACATAATTACTATAAGTATTGAAATGACAAGGTCTCATGGATCGGTATATCTTGTATCTAAATATTGAGAACGCAGCATTTCAAGATTGGATAATTTTAAAATTAAAAAAAAAAGTCAGAAATTTTAGAGTTTAACCTAAGCTTATGCCTGTTCTAAGTGATAGTTAAATCATTAAAATATAATGCGTTACGTGTATAATATAAATATACATTGTGTAAAATCGAATTTTCATATTAACAAGTACTTGAGAAAAAAACAACATATTTATTCATAAATAGAGAAGAACTATTGTACTGTATTCAAGAATATTAACAGAAAAAATATTATCCAAAACTTCTGACTTGATACATGATGTTTAACAACTGTGTGTTAGAAAACATAACGTTGATTTATCTCAGTTCCCCAATTTTTGTGAATTGCTTAGGTTGACAGTATCTACTAATTGTGGAATACATCGATTTAAATTCGGCTAATTTAAAGTATTATACATATATGTAGACATTTGTGAATATATATATATATCATATGTTCTTACGTTCCTATTGCCGAGTTTCAGTCAATGTTTTTAAACTCTTTTCATATAAATATTGACAGGATACAGTGTCAAAACAAATAAATAGGCAATCATTTTTATGTAAAAAAAAGGGTATTTCGCAACGAAAGCTTTCTTGTTTGACATGAAATTATAATAGAATAAATCATTTTTGTATTGCTATTCGAAACAATATGCCCGACATGGTCAGGTGGATAAGGCGCTCGACTCGCAATCTGAGGGCCGAGGGTTCGAATCCCCGTCCACCAAACATGCTCGCCCTTTTCAGCCGTGGGTGAGTTATAAT